GGTGCATTCGATCACTCGGCATTCACGCAGACAGACGAGGGGCGCACCCCCCGTCAGCCGAATCCTCTCGGCAGGGAACGGGCACACCCATTCTCCGATCTAAACGATCCGACGACCTCGCGAAATATCCACCCTCGCGACAACACCCGCGACACACGTGCACGTTTAAATCAACGCCGATTTAAAGGCCCGCGACGAACACGTGCGACACCGCCGCCGCCGCGCGCGCCCCGCACCACCAAACTGCGCGCCGCGATCAGTATCGCGCCAACCGCCCGAGCGATATCTTATTTTATATCCACGCGCTATCCGCGCGCCGATCGCCGTCTCGCCCGTCCACGGCCATGAACATTAACGCGAAGATTCGGTGCATTCCATCGCACCACTATTAGTTAAATAAAGCATCGTTATTTGTTATAATTATCGCCTAACAATTTAATAACAACTTTCTGTCTCCAACGTTCCTCGCCCTCCTGGCAACCGACTGACCGCTCTCCGCGCGGGAAAGCGAGACCGTTTTAACTTGATATCTTTTTTACTTTTTTTTAAAAGTTAATTTTGTAACGATATCATGCATAATATAATTTAACAGAGAAATTAATAAAAATTTGGAAAGATGGAAAAAATTAATTTACCGAATCATTAAGAATTTACTAATAATTATATCTTGCAATTCACAAAATTGATTTTATAGTTTATTATTTATTAATTACTGAAAATAGTATTTTAAATAAATTAGAGGAAAATTGTATTTCTAAATATTATTTTATTTTTAAATTATCTAATGAAAAAATCTTGATCAATATTATTAAATATGAATAATTGTATTTAGCGTTAAATGCCTGCTACATAGACAACTCAAATGAATGATTTGCCTTGACTTCATAAATAATGATATTTTGCGATTTACTTCGATCAAATCAATGACCTTATTTGCCATTCGATTATTAATTCTATTCCTGACTATTCTAAGAATAATTCATTGACTCCATTTTATTATATTTAGAATTATTGCTTGTCTCTCTTATATACATTCAGATCTTCTTTTCGTATATTGAATTTTGTCTAACCGATTATTTAAATATTTAATATATACTAATGGATCAATACTTATTTCCATTATAAATTTTGTTAGTTGCTGTGAATACATTTAATTATAATAAAAAGATTTAATTAATATGAGTAGATCTACAAAAAGAAATAAAAAATGTCATGTATGACTTAAAAATCATATATAAGTTCTTTGGAATATTTAGTTTCTTTTTATAACATGCTTTATTATAACATGCTAATCAATTGGGTTTTTTGGGGAGATCCAATTTTTTGGGGGGAGATATTTAAAAAGTTTATATGCATGTTTTATAGCTAAAAAGTTTTTGTTTTTTTTTTTTGTAATATTAATGGAGATATAGGTTTCACAATATTGTTTCAAACTCATAGCCGATGACGCGCCGATCATGCCCGAAATTACTCGACTGTGACGTCACAATATTATATGTTATATAAGATATTGAGATTGCAATCGGTGCGTCGTCGGATATGAGTTTGGAACAATATTACAATTTAGTGTTTGCTGGGATGACAACAATTAAAACATATAGGACATGTTTCGTCTCTCTTTGTAATAATACAACTAAAAGTATACCAAATAAAGTGTTCGTGACAGTGACACAAGACATGAAACTTCGCCAGAAATGATTTAATGCCGTTCGGAGAGATAATCTCAAAAACAGCACATCAAATTTCTTTTGCTGTGAAGACCATTTCAATGTAAGTAAACGTTTTTACAGCTTAAGGAAGTAGATCAGTTTGAAATTTTGAAAAAAATTGAAAATTTTTTTGCTTTAAAAACTAAGCTTGAAGTCTTAGAATTAATGTGCAGAAAATCCCAAGTGAATATTCAAAATATTTTTCGAGTTATAGCATTTGAAGTGGAGTTGCATATCTATGCGCCGGTAAACGCCCGAAGACTCGGGAGGCACAGTATTCTATAGAATTCTCCTATCGTCTCCTATCGAGTACAATAGACATAATAAACCGGTTTCCTCTTTTTTCGTAAGTATTATTTTCGGAAATGCGACCGTTAATACTAGTTCAAAATATTTGAAGGTGCTTATGAAACTTTTAGTTAGTCGCTATCTGCAGCATAGTACGTTTCATGTACGCGTATAAAATAATACTTAAAATTATATTATAAGAATGGATCGTACATTTATGGACAAAAAGGGTTCACAAAATTCATGACGTCCGAGTAGAACAAGAAAAAGAAAACCGCCGAATTTTCATATATTCGCGAAACAGCTACCACTAATATCGAAAAAGTAAGCGAAAAAGTCGAAAACAAGATTGATAGAAGTGCTGATAAATGCAGGCCACGGATACCACCGCATAATTAAGTTTTTATTAATTTTTACGATTCTCAGTGAGATCAAATGTAAGACATATAATGGAAACATTACATTTAGCAAGTATTCGCGGACTTGGATTCAAATTAGTGATTACATGTAATAAATGTGAACTGCGATAAATTCTTGTCTGCTTATCAGTCACGCGTATGAGATAAATAGACGAATTGTTTTTGTAATAAGACTTCTTGATGTCGGTTACGAAGGCATAAAAAAATTTTACAATATTATAGATTTTTCAAAAATCTTCAACAAAACTGTATATAATAACATTATCGTAAATGTTCATTGTGTGACGAAAGCAGTAGCTGATTTAATGTTCATGATTAATGTTCACTGAGGCGGCTAATGAAGAGAAATGATTGACGGCAAATGCAGAAAATACATTAGAATCGATAGGCTTAACAATTTCTGGAGATGGAACATGAAGGAAAAGAAATTTTTCGTCTTTATTGTAACACTAGTTGGCCATTATTCTGGAAAAGTAATAGATCTAATTATCAAATCATTGTATTGCAAACAATGCGAATATTGGATTAACAAAATGGACACAAATGAATAACGCATGGAAAGAATCACATATAAACGAATGTTCCATCAATCACAAAGGAAGTGCGGAAAAAATGGAGAGAGACGGAGCAGTACAAATGTTCGCGAGATCCGAAGATTTACATGGCGTGAAATATTTATCTTATAATGGTGACAGTAATAGTAAGACATTCAAAAGCATCGTTGAATCGCAATCTTATGGTGAACATATTATTACAAAAAAAGAATACGTTGGTTATCTTCAGAAACGGATAGGTGCGCGACTTTGTAAAATAAAAAAAGATACAAAAGGACTTGGCGAAAAAGGAAAGCTCACAGCAAATCTAATCGACGAACTCAGTGTATACTATGGATTGGCTATTATGAGAAATAAAGATTCCGTAAATGATATGAAGAAAGCAATCTGTGCTACTTTGCAACATAAGTCTTCCACTGACGAAAATCCGCAACACGATAATTGTCCGTCTGGACAGTTGATTAATATACGTGGCAGAAAGCAAAGGCTAATAATAAAAAATAAACTTGACGAATATACACATAAAGAAGCATTGCCTGATTATTGTTATTAAGGTTGTTATTCCTGCATATGAAGAATTGAGGATAATTTATTATACCGCTGTTTGGGAGGCTTTACGCAAAACAATCGAAAACCTAAATTCTCTGATTTGGTCCTTTGCGTCGAAGCGAATATTTAACGGCATTAACAAAAAAATATATTAGATGTACAAAAAAGTTTATATTTCTACAATTTGTATAAATGATGAAAATATGTAATCGGTTTGTAAATTAAGAAGAATGACGAAATGAGTGAAGAAATGCACAATTAGATGAGCAAAAAATAAGAAAGTTATTATTTATAATAAATTACTTAATAAATTATTTAAATAATGAAAATTTAACAAGTTCAATTAAAAGTTTATACACACACGCACGCACGCACGCACGCACGCACGCACGCACGCACGCACGCACGCACGCACGCACGCACG